GAAAGCACCTCATAAAGCCAGTAGCCATCATCCTGTGTTTAAGTGATCAAAATACAGAAAGGAAGACAAAGTTACAAAGATGATTTCAAGGATACTGTACATCTCATCCTAGAAATATGATTCTTAAAATTCCAGGGCAAGATTTTAGGTATCTTCCAGAAAATTTTTTTCAGCAAACATTTATTGAGCACATATTATGAGTGGACTTTGCTATAAGGAAAAATTGGTGAAAAAGGTATCTTAGTACAGAATGGTAATTTAAAAGTGAAAACAGTTCTGTGCCCCAGTTGATGCTTAATTCCATTTTCCCTCTATTGACTCTTAATGGATTTGATTTTCTCTATTCTACCTTTATATATGTTGCAGCAGTGGAAGCAGATAAAAATCATGAGAAGAAAAAAGCAAAGAAGGAATAAGGAGATGAGATGCAGAGTTGTAGCAACTGTAAATATCCCATAACTGTGCATTTAGCTCATGTTTACATTTGCATACTTCACTGGAGAATAGCAACCACATTGGCTCGTGCCTTATGGCAGCTTCAGGCAAAGCAGAGGCATAAAATGAGAAAGATGCACAATAAACAAACAAGCAACAAGGCCTTTCCATACAATGCGGATTTCAGAACTTTCACTCTGGTTCTCAGCTACATGAGCCAAGAGACTCACAGGGTGCTCTGGGTGAATGACAGTGTTTTCCCTGAATATCAGGCACGAGCCAGGTTAAACTTATGTCCAGTTAGCTAAAAACATACAGTTTTCTCCTGAACTGAAAAGTTTGTATTTTTCCTCCATTCATTAGAAAGTTCCTCATTATGGGAAGTCTTTGTTTCGACCTCACTGTTTTCACTTAAATAATTCATCAATTATTGACTTCATTTTGTAAATTATAGGGAATATTTTGTTTCCACTTAAATAAAACTAAACCTACATGATGAGGAAATAGACACAGCTCATTTGAGGCCAGCTACCGGAAATTCCTCACAAATCTTCATTCAAGGTTATTCCTTTGCGTAGGCAAGACTTGTAAATGTTATTTGATGGCTTCTTACTATGCCTCAAAGGCTTGTGAAACTTGAAACTTAAAAATGTAGTGACACAGCATATTCTTGTAGTCAAAATATTCCAGAAGCATACTTTCCTTTAAGTGAGTGAGACACCAGTTTCCCATGTTGGAAAATCTTGGAAGTTTGTTGTTTTCTCCACTAGTTCAACTTTTTTCTCCAGCCCACCACTGATATTACTGATTTTATCTTCTAATTAGTTCTTACATTTATCTACTTGTCTTTTCTACTGTGATCCCTGCTACCATTTCTGCTTGATATCTCATATTCATTTTGTTGTTGTTGTTATTACAAGATTTATTTAATTTTATTGGAAGGGAAATTTATAGAGAGAAGAGAGAGAGAAAGATCTTCCATCTACTGTTTTACTTCCCAAATGATTGTAGTTGCCAGAGCTGAGTCAATCCAAGGCTAAGACTCAAGAGCTTCTTCCCTTCTCCCATGTTGATGTAGGTCCAAGTCCATCTTGTACTGCTTTCCCAGGTCATAAGCAGGGAGCTAGATTGGAAGTTGAGCAGTCCAGACAAAAACCAGTGGCCATATGCAATGCCAGTGTTTGCATGTGGAGGACTAGCCAGTTGAGCCATTGCTCTGGCCCCTTTCATGTGTACTTTATTTGCATGCATTCCATTCACCACACTGTAGGTAGACAGTATTTTCAAAATGAAAATGGGATCATCATATTTCTCTATTTATTCATTTTAATGGCTCTATTTTGCTCGTAATGGTAAATAGACATCCTCGGGAACATCTTCAAGATGTTGATCAAAACTAATAAGGACTGGATCTAGATCCTCCACCTGCAACTACCCTTTGGGCTCTTACCACTCTTGCTTTGTTCCCGTCCCTTAATTTAGGTGTTCCCTTTTCACATGTGCTTTGAACATGCTAGGTCCTTGGTTTGGAAAGTTAACACTTCTACCCTCGTTAATCTTTACCTTTTTAAAATAATCCAATCCTCTCACTCTTTCATTAACTAACATTCATTTATAGGGTCTATTTTCAGACCTTCATCAACCAGATCTAATAATCTAGCCCAAGCTTTGAGCATTTGATGCATCCTTCAAAGTTTTTGTTACAATTGCATTGATGTGAGCCTGGCGGTGTGGCCTAGTGTCTAAAGTCCTCACCTTGAACACACCGGGATCCCATATGGGCGCTGGTTCCAATCCTGGCAGCTCCACTTCCCATCCAGCTCCCTGCTTGTGGTCTGGGAAAGCATTCAAGGATGGCCCAAAGCTTTGGGACCCTGCACCCATGTGGGATACCCGGAAGAAGTTCCTGGATCCTGGCTTTGGATCGGCATAGCATCAGCCGTTGCGCTCACTTAGGGAGTGAATCATCTGATGGAAGATCTTCCTCTCTGTCTCTCCTCCTCTCTGTATATCTGACTTTCCAATAAATAAATAACTCTTAAGAAAAACCCAATTGCATTGATGTGATATTCTTTGTCTTTTTGGGGTACCACAGTCTGAGGAAACAACTCATGTCTGATTATTTTTCTTTCAGTAGAGTTGAACGGCCTAACATCATTCTATCATTAAAGAGTGTTCCAAATCACATCAGGTAAGTGAATATAAAAATAAATAATTTATTAAGATTTGCAATAGGCACTGTGCGGGAAGTCACCCAAAACAATAATCATAATTTTACATGTTCGATCTGGGTAGATGGAAACCCTACCCAAGAGAATCCATGTCTCCCAAGTCAGACTGTGTGGCTTGAACCAGTGTTCCCTACTAGTCGCTGTGCGACCTTGTGCAGGGGCTTTCACTTGCTTGGGTATCAGTTTCTCGTAAAATCAGAGGAAAATCCATTTGGTGGAGTATTATGAGAGTTCCTTGATATATGAGAGAGAATATATACAAATATGTAGGAAACTATAGAAAATATGATGAGGACAACTTCGATTTCTTCTTGCAAAGGCCTATGAATTGTTTTGTAGAGTTGTCTGGAGCACAGCCATACTCATTTGTTTGTTTTGTTTGTAGCTGCTTTTATGCTATAAGACAGTGGAGTCATTGCGATGGAGATCATGTGGCCTGCAAACCCTAAAATCCTCACTCTGCTCCTTCACACAGAAAGCTTGCCAACCCCTGCTCTAGAGCATTGCTATAATTACTGTCTCAGCAAGGGCTTCACAGTGCACCCAAATGCCTCCATCCAAAGCAGAAGCCAGCTGGACCCCTGCCTCCACCTCATCACTGAATTATAATCCCTCCTATCTATGGTTTAAGGCTTAACTACAGACCTAAGATTTTGTATTCTAACCAAAATCCTTCAGTCATGTAGTTCTTCCTTTTATAGGTCATGCCATTCAATGTATATGATGTGTTCTTGTTTTATTGTGTATCAAATCCTCTTTGGGATGAAGGGATGAAGTAGTAGATTGACTAGTTTAATTCTACAAATGTATGTGAGTGTAGTATATCTGGTGTCATTCACTCATCAAATTTCTTACCAAAAAGGCAGAGGAGATGGAGGACCTGAATATAATTATATTCTTAGTATTGTATCTATGAACTGTATTGAGTCTGTGAAAACCTTCCAAACTTAAACACACACACAATTCTCCCCAGTTGTTAGTGGTGAGGGTTATATGGAATACTACTTTTACTACTATTACTACTACAATTATTGAAAAAAAATGAGAGATAGAGAAAGATAGATGGCAGTTCTAGCTTCTGGTTCATTTCCCAATTCCCTCAATGGCCAGTGCTGAAATGGAGCTGAAATTTAGAAACCAAGAACTCAGTCCTGCTCTCCTAGAAGGGTGGCAGGAACCCAACTGCCTAAACCATCATCATTTTCTCCCAGGATACACATTCTCAGGAAGCTAGAATCAGCATCTGGGGTCAAGAATTACAACTAGGCTCTCCAATGTGTGTTGCTGGCATTCCAACCTACATCTTAACAGCTAACCCAAAGGCCCATTGCTATATGTTTTAAGTTTACTTAATGACACTTACTGTACATTTTGAATGGCTACAGTGGTGCTCAGAGATGTGGAGTAATGAATTGAGCTGCTTCCTGAAACCCAGGCATCCATATAGGCAATGGGTCATGTCCTGGATGTTGCACTTCCAATATAGCTCCCCACTAATGGCCTGGGAAAAAGAGCAGAAGATGGCCAACACACATGAGTACATGCCACCCATATGGGAGATCCAGAAGTTACTGACTCCTGACTTCAGCCTTGCCCAACCCTTGCCTTTGCAGCCCTCTCAGGAAGTGAAGCAGTGGATGGAAAATACCTCCCTTTCTATCTCTGCCTCTCTTCAACTCTTACAAAAAATAGACAAATCTTTTCAAATATGGTTAAGAGGCTAAATTTCATGTTGCAAGTATGTTACCATCACAAAAAAAGTCTATCAAAACTTCACGCTTAATTAAATGATACTTTGGGAGCTGGCGTTTGTAGTGAGTTAATGGCCCTCAACTTTGGCCAGAAACTTCCCCAGCCACTGCAAGTATTTGGGAAGTAAAATGGTAGATGTGAGTTCTGTCTTTGTCTCACTCCTTCTGCCTCTCAAATAAAGAAAGGATATTTAAACTGTTGCAAAATTTACTTCAGTTACAAAAGCCCACCCTAATTCCCATGGTGGAATTATTCAGTCCTCTCTGTGCATACCAGGAATTTGCTTATTCTTTTGTGATAGAGCTTGGGTCCCTCTCCTGATGACAATGACATGTCCTTGTGTGGTATGGTCCTTGGAAGCAGGTGCCATCACCTCAGTATCACTGATGCTCCTGAGCGCATCCTGTATGCTTTCTACCTACTTGCAGAAGACAAGAGGAATGGAGGCGGGTGGAAGAGGCCTCCAACACTTGCTTTAGTTTTGGGGTTTGTGTGTGTGTGTGTGTGTGTGTGTGTTGCTTTTATGGTATAAGACAGTGGAGTCATTGTGATGGAGACCATATGGCCTACAAACCTCTTGCTTCTAGAAACCAGTAGAAGCAAGAAAGAAGAGTACTGGTTTCCATCAAAAATATTGTCTTCAAAAGATGCTCCAAACAACTTCTCCACATGTAAGTTCTGCTTTCATTGGAAAATAGTATATGGTCATATACAGTGAAGTCCTCCACATTAATATACTTGAGCTCTTAGATAACAGTGCACAATGATGATTCTTATCCTTTGGAGATCTCTACTCAAATGCCAACAAGGACCTGGGAGAGAATGCAATCAAGCAAAGCAGGCCAGAGGGTGTCTATGGCAAAACAGATGCTTCAGGCCATTGGCAGGGTAGTCACTGCTCCGCTCTAGCTAAATCTAGCTGTTGTGGTGCATCCCCTTTCTTTACCACTACGTACCTGCTCCATGGGCCACAGCTGCTCCTGTCTTACAGCTGCATCCCTCACGTCTGCACGGTCCACGTGGTCAGACATAGAAGGGGAAAACGGCTTGTTGGGAATATTGCCAACAATATGACAACGAAAATATTTATTGGTTATCTTTCTGTGTTTTAGCCACAAAGTTAAGTGCCGTATACACAATGATTCCAGTCATGAATGTTTAGAGTAGCCCAGTGTAACAGATATTATAATCCTTAGTTCACATGCAAAGAAATTGATATTTTCAAGGGGTAATGTCTTGCCCAGGGTAATTTGATGACATATGGTGGACACAGGACTCCACTACTAACAATGCCAAAGCAAGGCCATGTCAGTGGGGTAGCAGTGTGGAAAAAGTTCTTCCAAATAACCGATCTCAACACTTGAAATGAAAGTTCTGTAGTGAGTGAGGGGAAGGATAGCAGGAATCTACTTTTTTCCTCATCATTCCTGAATTTAGTCTTCGCTCTGAATTAAGTCCTTTTTTTAAAAAATTTTCTTTCTTTGCTGTTGTTAGAAGGATGTTGGAAGTTATCTGGTTTAACCCTCTAAATCTTTGGAAGTAATAGCTGGCACAAAACTCACTGGGCTGTCATATAAATCAGCACTGCCCCACTGGGGTACCTTGTTCTACAAGAACTGCATGGCAGCCTATCATTGTGGTCTATTTCATCCTAAGCTTTGTTTATTTGCTTGTTTCATGGTTTCCTTGCATTTGGCTCACTTTCAGGTTGTCAGGTGTCACTTGCCCTGGTTATAAAGAATGTGTCTGTCAGTAAGCACCTCTTTCGTACCTGATGCTGTGCTGCTTATAATTTGCTCTGAGATTAGAAAATGGTATAAAGTCTGCAAGATTGGACATCAAAAAAGAGTAAATAAATTCTAGCAAGGATGCTGAATGGATGAAATGTGTAAGGTTTTCCTAATAAACATGGCTTTCATTTTAGCTTCCCTGATGGTTAGCATTTGTATCTTGGCTAATTGAATGTTCCAGAAAAACAAATGCAGTGTAACTGAGGACTTGAATACTTTGAAAGATGTAACTTCCCAAAGAAGGCCTTGGTCATTCTTCCAAACTAATCTGTTACTTTTTCCAGCTTCCCTGGAGCAATCCCTCAAGTTCTGCACCTCCACCTGCTTTCCTTTCGTTCCTCTCCCTTCTCTGTTTTGTAAGCATTGTCAAATCATCCTTTACCTTCTTACTTCAGTTGTCATTTTCCAGCTGGAAAACAGCAAATTTGATCATTCAAATAGAAACAGCGTCTGTTGCTAACCCCTCAAGCTGGTGTTCTGGTTTCATTTCTTGCAGTCAGACACTCAGGAACATGTGTTTATATGTATATCTTTCCCTTTATATTAGTAATAAGTGGGTCATTAAGGGCTATATAATGAGAGAATGCAGTTTTCTGGCCTGATAAGTCCCCGAGCTTCATTACCAAATTCATCTTACATGTCAGCCGTTAAATGGCACAGCATTTCCCTCTCTCATCCAGGCAGTATCATTTAATTTCATCTAAATGGAGTTTTCTCTGTGGCCATAATCATCATCATCTTCATTGCCACCACCATCAAGAAGCATTTATTACTTCTTACACTGCATATGGTGTTCTGTTCGGCATGGTTCTACACAATTCCATCATTATGGTCTTCACCCATGGGAGGCCTCAAAGCTAAAGGGCATTCCCGAAAACAATGAGATTAGCCTTCAACTCGAGATCCCACCACTCCCCAGCCAGGTGCACTGGAGCACAACACTCTCCTTTTCTCAGCCACAATGCATGTGAAACTAAGAAAATGAGTTACATCATCTCCAAATTCCTATCACACTGTGCTGTCCAGTCCTCTTCTGGATCAGCAGGCAGGCACGTAATAAGAATCAACCTAGAACTTCTAACAGCTAGCTTTGGGCAACCACGTAAATGAGAACTGATGTGGATCTTTAAACAGCTGGCAATTCCCAAAGACATTCTCAGCCTTTGAATCCCAGTTCAGAGTTGTCTGTGCTGAATTACGATTCTCTTCCTGGTTTGAGACTATCAGGAAAGTACTGTGTCCTTTTATTTCACCATTATTCCTCCGTGAGTTTCTGACCTGATTTGGAGCTCCAGGCCCTGGTTTCAACCTGGTCCTATCCCAATCACTGTGGCCATCTGGGGAGTGGATCAATGAATGGAGATCTCCATCTCTCCCCACTCTGTAACTCCACCTTTTGAACAAACAAATAAATCAACTGCAGCACACACGCACTCCATCAAATTGAACAAACACCTTAATCAATTGTAAGTGTATACAATTCACAGTATTATGCCATCATTGCCACTACCTGTCTCCAGAGCTTTGTCACCATCCCAAATGTATGTTAAACAATATTTCTCCATTTCTACCTCCCTTCAACCACTAAGACCTCCTGCTAACTGCTCTTCTACTTTTGGTCTTCATGATACAACTATATCTTAATAATAATCACCAAGTCAATTTACAACTTTGCTGGAGTGACACTCCAAAGCATAAGGTGAAAAACCAGAGTCATTTATATTCTCACTGAAAATAGCTGAAAAGAATACCTAAAAAATATTAAGAAAACACATCCTATTTAAAAGAATAAATGTGAATGTATTTCAAATCTTTGCACTGAAACACACTTAGTTTTTCATTCCATGCACCTTGTTCTTGTTTACACACCCTTAGGCTAGCGGGTTAGGTACCGTCTCCCAGAGACATCTTCACCATGAATCAGCTGTGCTCCCGATACTCAACAGCTTACACGTGGAGGATCCTGTCATGTATATGTACTTTATGTAGTTGAAGCACATTGGATTTTGCTGTGGTGTTTGTGTCATGTGAGATTTCAGGAAATAAGACAAAATGAGTGAGGAGCAGATTCATATCTCCCACCCATGTTTACCAGGTGAAATATTTATTGAGCTTGCCTGAATCATTTTCTCAATTCACATGATTTTCCTTTCCCCTTCTGCTTTCAACAAATGCATGGGATTGAATTCTTGTGCACCAATGTCTGTAGGATGTGATTCCTTGCTGGGATTGTCCTGATTATACTAAGCCATAAAAAATTATGGGTCTTGCCAAAATTCACAAAACTTCATAAATACTTTAATTTGTGCTTTGAACTACTATTCAACACTGCCAGATAAATGTTTACTTCTTTCGAGGAAGTTGGACTTTTTCAATAGTAATTTCTTTCTTTTCTTTTTTTAAATTAAGCAGTGGAGCCTGTTGACCAGGAAAGCTACCAGAAAGCACTTTAGAGGGTTACTCTAAAAGTTCTTATCCGTTTTCTCAAACTACACAATATGTAAATCTCTGCACTCCAGGGACCAATTGTTAAGTTGGTTTCAAATACCTCAGAACACATAAATCTTGCTCCTTTCTTCTTTACCCGCCTCACTATAATCTACTCACTCTTTGACCTCCTAGCAAAAAGCATGACTGCCTTAAATTTGGCGTTTTTCTTTCCATGAAAAAATACACAAGTTAATCTCTACTCATATTTCAGAGATGGAGTTAGTAAGGTTTCTCATAAGCATCCCTACTGCCTCAGGTGAGAAGTAGTCCACAAGGACACAAACTGCCAGGGAGTTGCCACTGATTGAAAGCTAGGAGTCAGAACATTCAGAAGGAATTTAGGAACGAAGAGCGATTTCACTTATTTGAATGGATGGGGGAGAAGGTCAGGCTGAAACCATTAAGAAATCTGGATAAGAAATACTGATTTATGACTCACAAATAACCACAATAATTTAGATTCATCTCAGAGTTCTCCCATGCTTGTTTTTACCGACTGAAAACTCTTATGGACCTGCTCTGAGAATAGATGAAGTTTTTAATCAACAAAGTTATTATAAATAAAGGTAAGTTCTTCATGTGTTTGAAAACAATTTTTTCCTAAGTGATCTTGTCTATGTCTCTAATATGCACTTTTTGAAAGAAGATTATGCTGGGAATAAGTAAACTTTCATTGAAAAGTCATAACAAACTTGAGCCTAGTGTAGATTAGCCGTGGTCTAAGTTTCAATTATATTAGAGCCAAAATGACACAACTAAAAGTATGATGAATTAAATAGTCAAATTATCTTGCACAGAATAATGTCTTTTTTTTTTCTAGTGAAAAAGAAAGCCAAAAAGAACATGGCTTGTGGGGAAGGCAGGCATAAAAGACAGAGTTAAATTTTAAAGAAGTAAAAATCTTGGTTCCAAAGCAAGAATTCCATCTTCAGGCAAAATGACAACAATATAAGACAGCTTAAGCATATTCATTATTTTCCCATTTGGAGAAGTCCTCTCTTTCATATTATTTATTCTGTTTTCAAATGCCATGCTCCAAACATAAATGTGATTTTCAGTGATGCTCTTCAACTTTGTCAGGCTACCCAACCCCCTCTCTTCCTTCCTAAATTTAATTAAAACCAGCATTCAGCCATACTGGAGAGAAATGCTATTTACATAACACAAAGAAAAACAATTTTTAAAAGCCCACATTAATCATGCGCTTTAGAGAAAGTCACCATGAATAGGATGTCTCTAACAGAGCGACAAGCTCCAGCCACTTAAGGAAAAATGTCTTTCCAGCTGCAAGGAGACCAGTGTTCCTAAAGAACACAGCTCTTTTGTTCCACAAATTCTTCCTTATTTATGTAAAGTTATCACGGTTGGTCTCTCATGGTAGAGACTGAGACATATCCAAAGTTGCTTCATCTTCCCATGCAGTCTAGTTTAATTTCAGTGTATAATATTTACAGAAAGGAAGGAAAAAAATGTAGCACCTACTGCATGCCAAGCTAAACTCAGTGTTCTGCATATGTTGCCTGCTTCATGAGCTCATCAGATGTACTCAAGTCCACTCACCTTGAGCTTGAACTATGAATGCAGAGCAATCCTGTGGTCCCACAGCTCGCTTCTGTCTTTTCTCATGGAAAGTTGACACAATGTTTAGGGATATAGGTTCCCACTGTCTCCTTCCATATGATGCATTTAACTATGCCATTTCATTTCATCTATTCCGCTAATAATGTGAACAAAAGGAACAGAAAAACATAGCAAAACTATTTTCAATGACAGAAACCTCAAATGCGTCACTAAAATGAAAAGAAAAATGCAAATCAGTCGAGTATTATGGGCTATCCATTAATAGGAGATTAAACTTATGCACTACTAAAAGAAATCATCCAAATGTTCTTTGCTTCAGATGAGTTCAAATGTAAAAATGGTTAATAACATGACCTATAGTCTCCAAAAACATTATGAGAGAAAATGATATAATTGCTACTGACAACTAGGCTTTTTAGAAATAGAAGAAAAATACAGATTATTGAGCTTTTACTATAAGCTATTGCTTTGTGGATGTGGATAATTGTTCTTTGTTTGATTTAATCTGCATCATAGATATCTAAGATTTACATACATATGATATATATAATTTTATCTAAAATTATATTATAAAGTATAAATATATAAATATTTATATATAATTATATATACATATACAATTTTACTAATGAAGGAGTAAAAGAGTGTAATTGTTTCACTAAGGCTACATGGCTAATCAATGACACAACCAGGTTTTAATCCATATTTTACTGATTCTCTTTCTGTATCTACACTTTATCTTCCTCTCTGATTGGAACATAGTCCACATCACCATGGAGCTGTACCTGGGGAGTGGGTGGATGGCCACAAAGTGATTATTCTGTGTCCCGTGTCTACCCTTCCCCTAGAATGCCAAAGATATTGTTAACTTCGTCAAGATTTCACTGTATGTGAGCTACAAAACATCAAGGATGTTTGAAAATTTCCTTTGTTCCTTCCTTTCTTCCTGCTTTTCCTTCTTTCTTCCATTCTTGCAGTCCCATCTCTTCTCTCTTGTCTTCTATCATTATGTTCACTAACCTATCCAAAGATTTGATAACAGTACCCAGCATATGTCAGGTATGTGACTTTTGGTTGAGTGGATATGTAGATCCTGAGAACTGTTTTCTCTGGCCATCTAGTAAGGAAGATGATGCCCCTTTTGGGAAATAGTTGGGTTTAGCTACACAATTAGGTCTCTATTGCTTTGAAAACCAAGGAAGTTGAAAAGTCGCTGAGATTGATACTGCCTGGAAACTGTGCAATACTTTTTTTGGCAAACATTTTGTCAAGGAAGCTGACCCTATGTGATACCATGAAAAGACTGCCCAATGCTGAAGAGCCAACATGTGTATACATAAGAAGAAAAAAAAATGTTAGATTGCAGAACAGGCTGTACGATACATGAAACCTTAAATAAAGGAAGCTGTCTTTGATTCTTATCAATGGAGAGAAAGCTACACAGAAGAGTGATCATTGGACTGAATATTGTAGGACCACATACCAACAGAATGAAAACTGGGAGAAATCTCCACTAAATGGCACAGAATCACTCTGGTTAAATGCTAGGCTGCTTGCCTTAATACCTCCTCCTGCCAAAGCCTCACAGGTTCCTGGTATTTTTCTGTGCTCTTTCAGGAACACTCTGAATGAATAGATTAGAGATGTCTCAACAAGACTGCTAGGAATGTTTTCCTATTTCATCCAGAAACTTCAAACCCATGGAGGGGTGTGTGTATGTGTGTGTGTGTGTGTGTGTGTGAGAGAGAGAGAGAGAGAGAGAGGGAGAGAGAGAGAGAGAGAGGTATGCCCTTTGCTTAACATTCTCAAAGGCATGCCTGAGTATCATTCCTACAGAGCAAAATGCAGTGAGTTCTTGAGTGGTTCCTGAGTTTTTATCATTTTAAAAAATCTTCTGTACTTGGAAGTCAACAGAAAATCATTTTCTGAACAATCATTGTCACAGATTTGAAGTTCCTGGATGATTGTGATTTCAAAAGTCACTTCATAGACTATTGTCTGTCTGGTTATACTGGAATGAACAATAGGAAAAGTAGAAAATGACTTTTTGCCTGGTTTGTCTTTTCTTGTCTCTTCCACTTTAGTGGTTTGCTCTGTAGATGTAACGTTACTGAGAACCCCCACACCTGAGCCTTTGATTGGCCTTATACCTTTGCCTAAGTGGCACCACAGATCACATTCAGTTCTCCCTACCATTTCAAGTTAAAATACTAAAATACTTGAAAAATCTTTTATTTACTATTGGTCTTGTTTCATATTTTTGCAATTAGAGATCTTATTTTCCCAACATCACCTGTTAAAGAGACTATCCTTTCTCCCAAAGAGTGACTTTAGCTCATTTGTCAATGATTATCTATAGATGGGTGGATTAATATCTGGGGTTTATATTCTATAGTTGGCTATATTGTTATTTCTGAGATAAAGAAATATGCAAAAAGAGTCTAAGTAATTTATCTATCACCACACAAATGGAAAAGTCTATTCACTACTTACCTTATCTTTTACTGCCAGAAAAAAAATTAAGTTTCCAGATATTATCAAGTCAAAATCATAATCTGACTTGTTAGGATAGCTGTTTATATTATTTAAAATATGATAGAATTTTTGCTTCTCTTAGTTTTTTCTGCAAACATTTCTGGGGAAATTTTGCATGCCATTGACTAGAATAGTAGCTGGAATTGGGGGTCAAGGGGTCGTCCAGGGTGTGATGCAAAGTGGTCATACTCTGGTGGCAGGGTTTGAGAAAAAAGTGATTGCAACAAGTGCAACCATGCAAACAATAGACAAGCTTGCATAGAAATAGTGAATGCATCACCATGTGCAGTACCCCGGCCCTGATCTATTGCAGTACAGTAGAACTTAGAAGCTTCTTGTTTTTCTCCATCAATGCCAGAAGAAGCTGTGTTCATTTTGGAGTATGCAAAGGTAAAATATTCACATTAGCAGAACATTCAGCCTGGCATCTAGTTACTGGTCACTTTTCTCCCTTGCAGGTGGTAGGAAATGGGCACAGAATAACCACTGAGATAATTCAGCTTAAGTCAAGGCACTGCCACGTATCCTACTAAGGATCAGTACCTATCATCCGTAAGAGTGTATAGAAACAATGAGGTAAGGCAGTGGTTTCCTTCTCTTTCATGAGCTTGAATTGAGAAAGTGGGAAGCCATTTTCCAGCAGGAGTCTGGTTTCTGCTTGGTTCCTGGGAGTCCAGAATGAGAAGAAAGTGGAGACACAAGTATGCAGTACAGGAGGAATGAGACAGTGAAGACTTTCATGGCTAGTGAACTAGTAAGCAGAGGACTGGATGGAGCCAGACATAGAAAGCTGATTTGTCCCAAGAGGATAATCCATTTCAGAGAACTGTAAAATATGTGTTTCGCAGCTGTCTGTAGTAGCAGAACACCGCAACAGAACATCTTTCCAAGTAGGGAATCTCAAATAGCTGCTACATTTGAAGTTGCTGCATGCCTATGCTGATGGTCTTATTTTTTTCCAAAGCTTTCATATAGGTGGGTGGAGGCAAAACAAGTGTAAGTTCTTTAAGACTATTACTGCAAACCATTTACTGCACAGCTGAGCAAATGATAACTTTGGTATTGGAGTGATTTCTTCATCTCTGAATTTAAAACCAATACTGTGCCATGGCATAAGACTGTATTGCATAAAATAAGTCGTATGATTAGGAATTTCAAACAGTGAAGATGGCACTTCTTTGAAGAATTCTGGCATGTGCAAAACTGAGACAATTACCAGAGGCCCCAGGATACCACACGCTGTCACAATTTTTGAAAATAAAATGGCAAAATCTGAGGTTGGCATTATTACAATAACTCCAAAACTTCCCTATAGTTCCAATGCCTGCCTATGTGACACTATCAGTTAATATTTGGATAATACAACCTGGCTGTAAGCAACGGCATGTTGGAAACATGACCTTGGCTAGTAAGTAGCTCCTACAAGTGTAAGAATAATATCAAGATACTGACACGGTAGCTCCCTGCTTTTTGTAAACAATTCAGCAAATAAAGAGAAGACTAACTCTTCACTTACTTCAAGTTAATTTCTTCATCAAGAATACAAATTAGGTCCCAATCTGTCACGTGCACTTATCTAAGCAACTAATTGAGTTTAAATTCGATATGATTTACCCTCCGCCCACCCCACCCTGGTATTCAATGCAGGAAATACTGCGAGGGAAAGAAAATCGTCTACCCTTCCCTTCGCTAAACCAAAAAATAATTTCAAAATTGCATCTTTTGGATTCTCAGCACTGATGGAGGAAGCACAGAGACACCTAAGGAAAAGCTTACAGGAAGGACCAGAAGGACCCAAGCCTCCTGACAATACTAAAGTAAATAGCTTCACTTGCACTTATATTTGGTGTTCTGCATAAAACTGCCTTTCAAAACTTATAATGGAAACTGAGTGTCTCGGAGTCTTCACCTTAAATTGCATTTGTGTGTTACTGAGGCTCATTTTTAGTGCACGTAGCACTGTCCTATATTCATGCTTCTATGAGAAAGCAGATGTTGGGTTGGCATATGGTACCCACTCATAAATTTCTCTAACCTTTCCCTGGTGTATAAGTCGCCGGCAATGATGGGTTCCAATGACCAGTCTTCATAATTCTCCCCAAGGACCTCTGGGGCACAGGTCCCATTTGTTCACTTCGGGTAGGTGAGCCAGTGCTTTGGGCATCCATCTGCTGACAGCAGATCCAGATGGAGGCAGGGAGAGGCCAGCAGGCTGCTCAGACTGAGAGCTACACCTATCATCCCACCTGGGAAAGCAAAGGACCACCGGTGATGATTAAGGGGACTGAACCAAAGGTCTGAGCATTCAGAGCTGAGTTGCTATGAAGAAGGTGGGTGTCTGGCGATGGAAAGAAGTGCTGACTTTAGAATCTGATGTGAGAATTCACAAATGAGGCTTTGGAAAATACAGAGAGCTACAAAGAACAAAGGGAGGGAGGCCCAGCAGCATAAAAATGAAAGCGAACACTCTCCCGTCTTCTTCCCTCCAAAGCCCAATGGCACACAAGTTTTGATGGCAGGTGATCATGCAGTTGCACATATTTTGATTATACTTTTATTTTTATTTATTTCACTCTGTCCCCTGATCGATACAATGAACAAGTTCAAAACGCAAGCAGCCTCTTCCCAAATCTCCCCTTCTTTCTAAAGCTACTAACAGGCGTTGGATAGGCATTCGGTAATTTTGTATGGGCTGAGTGATAGGCTGAAGGCCTTTGTTAGACACCCTTCACATCAATTGCAGAAGTCAATATTATATGACACTTAATATATCCATAAGGTTCTGGGTAATAATTGTGTTTTTTTAAGATTTAATTTTATTTGGAAGACAGATAAGATTTGCAGAGAGGAGGAGAAACAGAGAAGAAAATCTTCCATCTGCTTGTTCACTCCCCAAGTGACCACAGTGGCCGGAGCTGAGCAGATCCAAAGCCAGGAGCCAGGAGATTCTTCCAGGTCTCCCATTCAGGTTCAGGGTCTCAAAGCTTTGGGTTGTCTTCTACTGCTTTCCAATGCCATAAGCAGGGAGCTGGATGGGAAGTAGGGCCACCGGGACATGAACAGGCACCCATATGGGATCCTGCCATGTGCAAGGCAAGGACTTTAGCCACATAATTGTTGTTATAATAATAATAGTTTTAATGTACATCACCAGGCTTTTTATATTGCTATGTCAAATCTATTTAAAAAAAAACACTGAGAAAATTTTTATTAATGATGTTTCCGATGCCATAGAGATTTCAAACATATCATAAGCATGGAATCCTTGCTTTATGATTCTTATGCAAGCTGCATCTACATTTAACCTCAAGTTTGTGGAATGGAGAAAAGCAGAAAGCATTTCAACCAAGACCCAGAATCAGACTAGATGCTCACTTTCACCATTGCCATTCAATATAATTCTAGCATTTCTAGCCAGAACCATTAGGTAATAATTCAGAGGTATACAAACTTTTTTTACACTAGAAAGGAAGAAGTTATTCCTGTTTGCAGATATCAGGATCCCATAAGTAGGGGCACTGGAAGACTCCACTAAGCAACTACTAGAAGTCTCATAAGAGAGTTTTGTAAAGTTGCAGGATGTAACATCAACACACAAAAATCAATAGCCTTTGTATACACAAACAGCACTATGGATTCTCATAGAACGTGTAAGATCAGTACTATTTACATTACCTACAAAAAATTGAAATACATTAGGATAAATACAATTAGGGGCATGAAAGATTTCTGCAATGAAATTACAAAATCTTGAAGAAAGAAACAGGAGCACGAAAGAATTTGTAGTCTGGAAGAATTAATATATTCAAAATGTCCATACTACTGCAAGAAACCGGTTGATGTAATGAGATCTCAATCAACCGACCAAGAACACTCTTCTCAGATCTAGGAAGAACAATGAGAACTTTCATGCGGAAACACGAGCAACACCAAACAGATAAAGTAATTTTTTTATTGGAAAGTCAGATATACAGAGAGGAAGAGAGGCAGAGAGAGAAGAGCTTTCATCTGCTGAATTACTCCCTAAGTGGCTGCAACGGCTGGAGCTGTGCCGATCTGAAGCCAGGTCTCCCAAGTTGGTGCAGGGTCAGATGTTGCCATTGTTTATTTCCTACTCCCAAGTTCTCATTATCTCATGCCTATATTCTACAACTAATTTTGCCCATGAATTGAATATTCTGATCATTTAGGATGTAATCAGCGGGTAAACATTATTACTTTATTCCATGGCTGACATGCACTGTGTTGGAGTCATGCAATACATAAAACTACATGAAGCAGCATCCAGGCTTTCATTGAGCTTGATTTCATGTAGAGGGAAGGATAAGAAGAGGATGAGGACCTGGCATGGTACCTAGTGGCCAAAGTCTTCACCTTGCACTCACTGGGATCCCATATGGGTACGGTTCGGTCCTGATGGCCCTGCTACCCATCCAGCTCCCTGCTTGTGGCCTGGGAAAGCAGTCGTGGACAGCCCAAAGCCTTGGGACTCTGCACCCACGTGGGAGACCCAGAGGGGGCTCCGGGTTCCTGGCTTCAAATCAACCCAGCCCTGGCCATTGCAGCTGCTTGGGGAGTGAATAAGCAAGCAGACAATCTTCCTCTCTGTCTGTCCTCCTCTCTGTATATCTGACTTTCCAAGAAAAATAAATCTTTAAACAAACAAAAAAATAAATGGATGAAAATACTACCACTTGTAGAATAACTATCACTTGTAGAATAACTTAAGTACTGCATGAGAGATATAAAATTAGTTATAGGGCTTGGCATGGTGGAGTGGAACTCTATTATGCCATTGTTCATTAGTGAAGAGCTTGGGTATACTACAAATCTGCTCTTGATGCAAACAGAAACAACCAATGAGTAAGTTAGAAGGCAGGAAGCCATTGTCTCAAAGGAAGGAAAGTTAGGTGTGAGAGATAAGTTTCCAAGTTAAGCATTACACTTGGTGACTTCTTATCTCCCCTCAAAATTCAAGACAAGAGGACTGTGCCAGCTGACACTTGAAGAGGGAGCTGAAAATCAGCAACTCATTATCAAAAACGGGGTCAAAGTGGTGTTCGGCATTCTACAACATAGACATAGATGGTGGGAGGAAAACTGTGGAAGCAGGCTGTCAGCTAGGCTTATGGAGGGAGGTGGGGATGTTGAGCCAAAGGGATCTAGGACACAGCCTTTATGTACATTCCAGTACTAATTTATGTCTCCATGGGTTTAGTCACCTTCTTTACACAGTCTGTGATGACTCACCCTCTGAGGTGGATGCTCCTAACTGCCTATTCAGCCTCTCCCTAAGAAACACATGTCAGGATGTCCTATCCTTCATTTCTCTAAGCCTGCTTCCTTGCACTCCCTGATTGCTCCATCATCTGCTACTCAGCTTTTATAGAGTGAGGGACCCAAGAGAAATTTGAGATTGCCTTATGCCTCTTCCTCCAAGGGCAAAATCTCGCCAATCAGTGTAATTTACTTCTGAGTTACCTTGTGATTTCATTTGCTTCTTTTTGTATCTCTGTGGACACTGCCCTGGTTTGGGAGCAGTCACTGGAGTCTCCCATCAGCTACCCTGACAACTGCACAATCCACTTCCCCTCCAGATGTCTGAATGCTTATGAACCATAGAAATGTGACCATGCACTCTTCCCTAGATATGACATTTCCAAGATTTCATGCTGCTCTGAGGCTAAACCCGAAATCCTTAAGAGGTATGCAGGTCTTGCTTTATCTGACTTAACCTGCCTCACTAGTCTCATTACCCATCCTTTGCCCCAAGCTTCCTGTAATGCAATCACTATGACCTTCCCTGGGCATCAGCCCATGCTCCCTTCCAGGGCAAGGCATTGGAGCATGCTGTTTCCACAAGCTGGCAGGGTCACTGCTCCCTCCTGGAAGAACTTTTCATGACTTCCAGGTCATCTAAACCCATCTTGGATGTCTCACTTCAACTCTAGTCTCACTTTTCTAGGAAGACTGCTGGCTTTTGGTTTTACCCATCCAGCAGTCTGGGGGAAGGTCTTTCCATTTGTATTTCTTGGGAACCATGTTTCTTCTCACATGTTAATGAAATAATTACATAATGAATTAATCAAGATTTGTTTTTCCATGCAGATGGTAATCTTTTGTGAGAATAGAGCTATATCTGTTTTTTGCTTTTACTTTCTTTTACATCCCCAGTCAATATCACAAAACTTGGCATACTGTAAGTGCCCAGTCTAGATAGATTACATGAACAGTTGAAGCACCGTCAAATTTGAGACAGAACACAATAGGAAAGATAAGGCAAAATATGGTTTAAGAACAAACATACTAGACTTCTTTCAAACAAGATAACTGATTGGCTTCTGCTGTTCCCATTGTCCTCTGTTCAGTTCCTGAAAATGATATTTGAAGAGGAGATACTTGGTGGTCACATTCTATAAGGCATTTCAACGGCTGCATTTGCAATACCTGAATATGATCATCCTCAAGGTATTGCTGAATCTAGGTATGAGGTTTCTTGGACTCTGGCACTTGACATGGAGAAGAAAGTAGTTAGGGACGAGGCTGTTGCCATTGCTAATTGGTTTTTGTAAGAATGATACAGGCTGGTAACAATTTACATAGTAAAAGTTATGAGGGTGCTATTGGCAATGCTATAGTAAGCATCTTCTAAAAGGAAATGTGTGTATACTCCTTGAGATAACTGAAGTCACATCCCTATCAAATCATCATGCTCAAAACTAAAGCCAACTAGATTTACTGAACAACTTCATTGAGGTAATTCTGAAGCTCTAAAGACGCGTATGTTCGAGGCAAAATTCTCTGCCAGGGC